GACAACACCAAGTCAAGGGTTAGGATCCCCTTACCGGTCATCTTTTGAAAAAATAAAATAAATAAAATAAAAAATAAAATAAACACTACTCAACCACAGGACAGAATGTCACCTGCTCTCCAGAAGCCCCTTCGGGCGCCTTCTAGGCCTTCCCTTCTGCAGAGGAAACCCCTTCCCCGACATCCACCACATAGATTCATTTTGCCTGTTCTCAAACATTATATGAATGGGACTGTGCAGAGTGTTCTGTCTTGTGTGTGGTTTCCTTGGCTCACCATTGTGTTTGTGTGGATTCCTCCATGCTGGCGTGAGTGGTTGTAGATGGATCCTTTGCTATATCCTGCTGTTTTCCTGTCCGCATTGTGTATGCCCACTTGCTGAGTGCCTGAGCACATGTGTAGATAACCGGGCAGTCTGGTACAATGGTCTTGCAGGCTCTGGGAGGGTGGGAGGGCAGACCACCAGGGAGGTTACACCAACTTCTAAGCCTGGGCCCTGGTTCTTCCTGCCCGAGTAGCACACGTTCACATGAGAGATGGAAGATTCCACGTGAAGGACTGGGGAGCAAGTGGGATGACAGGCGTTTGTGATAGATGAGAGGCACCTGCCTGTAGACAGCCTCAGAGATGCAAGCCTGGCAGGTGCCCTGAGACCACTGCTGTTGCTTTCTGAGCTGCCCTAGAGACCAGGCGGCTCATGCCTTTGGCCAGATGCCCGATGGCCTTTTAGGGCAGTTCAGCCTTGGCAGTACCTTGTTCCTCTCTGAAGGAGTGAAGACCAGAGGTGCCAGAGGGGCTGCACTGACCCGTGTCACCACCCTAACATCCCAGTTGCCCGCACTGGTCAGTGCCTTTGCCCTCTTCGCTGCCTCTGCAGGGTGCCTGCCTAGCTGCCCCTTGCAGGAACTGCAGGGATGGCCGGAGTCTGGGAAGCAGGGTGCCTGCATTCCACTTCCCCACACTGTATTGTGGGTTTGGAAAAGTTATTTCCGAATTTCCCAGTGCCTTAGGCTCCTCCAAGTGTTAATACAGTGTCCTGGTCTTACGGAGGCCCTGTGGGAGGTTGGGAAGAGGGGAGCAAGGCGGAGGCAGAGGCTGGCTGGGCATGGCTTGATTTAAGCACATAGGACTGGAGCTTGTTGCCTTATATGACAGTGGCTGGGATGGCTCCAATGGTTTCTGCATCCTCCTTTGCCTACCTGGTCTGAGTGGGGTCAGAGTGGCCTTGCTAGTGGGGTCAGGCAGCTTCTGGGGAAGGAAGAGCCCATAGCCACCCTTGGCTGGGTCTCCCTGCTTGCCCCCTGCACAATTTGGATGGTGTTTGGGGTGAGTCTTTTCTTTTTCTCCTCTGTAGAGTAAGTTCTCAGTCTGTAAAATAAAAAGTGGTCCCACCGCCCAACTGAGAATGCAGGGACTGTTTCAAAGGCAGAGAGGGCCATTAGGATGAAAGCAGTGGGCAGGCGGGGACAGAGATGGGGAGCTCGCCACGCTTAGATGTGGGTTTCTTTTCATCCATTCACCCTCTCAGTGCTTTTTCTGCTCCTTTTCTTCGTTTCTGGATTACAGCCCCATCCGACCCACCCAGGCCCGCCTCTTCCCTTCTGGAACCACCCCCAGCACTGCTTGACTGTCCTGCCAGCTCCGCTCACCCCCAGGTCGGCCCCTCCCGCCCACCCGCTGTGGGTAACCTAGCTCCCGGCACAGGCCTGGGTTTTGGATTAATGGAGCCCAGATGCAGGATCTCGGCTCTGGCTGCAAGCTCGCTGAGGAGCAGCAGCCGCGCAGAGGGGCCATTTACCTCCCACTGTGTTCCCAGCCCAGCTGCTGCTGGGGCTCCCGGGGAACAGCTGGAAAGCATGTCCTGGCTGAGGACAACCCCAGTTGGAGGCCAAGGGAGCTGGGTGTGTGATGGGGGAGAAAACCACAGGGTGGGGCTCTGGGTGAGGAGAGGGAGTCAGGCCTGCACCCACAAGGGTCTGGCATGGGGGAGAGGGGGTGGGGGGAGAGTGGGGATGGGGGGCTTCTGCTTGCTATCCCACAGCTCAGTCCAGATGGGGTCTGCCTCTCCCTGGTGCTCTAGCCCAGGGCACTGGGAAGGCCAGGTGTGTACAGGGCCATGCTCTGCAGAAAGGGGCCAAGACTAAAGGGAGACAGGGTCAGGGAGGGCCCGACACTGGTTATTGTCAGAATGGGTGGGAATGGTTTGGTCCCTCCCAGGGTTACAATACAAACATCCTATATAAAAAAAAGTCACTCTTAAGGGCTGGTCAGTTAGCTCTGTTTTTAGAGCAGCAGTGCTGATAACACCAAGGTCAAGGGTTCGGATCCCTGTGCCAGCCAACCGCCAAAAAAAAAAATTTTTTTTTCATTTATCTGAAATTCAAATTTAGCTGCGCATTTTATATTTTGATTTGCTAAATCTGGCAATCCTATCTCCCCCTCCAACTGAATTTCTTTTTTAAGTAGTGGTTTTATTCAACTGCAATATACAAACAGAACAGAGCATAGACAGTTAAGTGTATGGCTCAGTCGGTGGACTTTCTTTCACAAGTGGAACTCATCATGGGAAACTAGCACCCAGGCCGGCCCGGTGGCTCACTCGGGAGAGTGCGGTGCTGATAACACCAAGGCCCCGGGTTCGGATCCCATATAGGGATGGCCGGTTCGCTCACTGGCTGAGCGTGGTGCTGACAACACCAAGTCAAGGGTTAAGATCCCCTTACCGGTCATCTTTTAAAAAAAAAAAAAGAAAAGAAACTAGCACCCAGACCAAGAAATATAACATGAAAAACCTGCCCACTTCCCCCACCCCACAGTTACTAGTATCCCAACTTCCAACTGCTGAAGTGTGCCTACTTTTGTACTTTATTTATATAAACGAAATCATGCACATGTGTTCTTTTGAATCTGGCTGCTTTCCCACAACAACGTGAAGATCACGCATGTTGTTGGGGTAGTCGTAGTTCATTCATAATCCTGTCTCCCCTGCAGGACTGACTTGTGTGGAATTAGTCCAGTGTGTTTATCTACCGCGCTTCTGCAGAGCGGACCCTCCCAGTGCCTCTCTCTTGTAGCTAAGAGTAGGATTGCTGGGTCATGAGGCAGATGTATGTTCATTGTTAGTAGATCTTGCCAAACGGTTTTCCAAAGCGCATGTGCCATTTATGTCACCATGGGCTGTGCGTGAGCACCCTGCAGACCTACACCCTCACCAGCACTTGGCTTCCCCCCCCCCCTTTTTTTTTCTGGGGTTTGGTGGTACTACCTGCTGCCTTTTCTCTTTTAATCAACAGCCCCTGCTTTGTTGACTAAGTGGCACTTAAGAAAATAAAAGAGGCTTCTGGGTTTCAGACCCTAGATTAGGGCCTCTGATCCCAGCCTGCCCAGCCTCACCGGAGCTTTGAGGAAGTCATTTCTGTCTAGGTTCCCCATAACTCAGGGAACCTCCACAGGCCCTGGGGAAGTTGCTGTGGAGCCTTCAGCACTAGCTGGGAGTGACCGGGCTCAGTCTTGCCTGCTCTGAAGTCCTTTGGGGAAACACCACTTCTGAGTGCCTCCCACATCTTAACTGTTCCCCATATCTGGTCCTACCTTTCCCAGTGGCATTATTGCAGAGGTGTGGCTGAGGGTGCCTGTGGGGTCCCTCCAGCCATGTTGTTACCCAAGGGCTTTTCTCCTCTAAGAATCTGATCCTGGCCCAAGCATTTTCCATCATGTTCCTTACATTTCCTTGAGCTTTCTCCTTTGCTTCCCCTGGTGGTGGCTTTCCTCGGGAATTAGGGACTATGGCCACTTCAAAGTCCATGCCGGGGGCTACGGCTGCTGCCCGTGGAGGGCAACAAGCAGGGAGCCACACGAAAGGTTGTAACCTTCACGTGGGTTCGGACTCTGGGCTGGGAGCACAGAGGGCCTTGGCCTTGGAGCTCGGGTCGGGAGGGGCTCCTCCTACCCCCCGTCTCAGGAGCCCTCAGCTTCTCTCCACACCGCCCCTCTCCAGCCCACTGCCACACCATCCCCTGGTCTCCACTTCCTTCTCTTTTTTACTCACCCTAGCCCTCAAGGACCCAACATTAGCCTCTGAACACCCTGGAGGTCTTCATTCCTGAAGAAGAAGTATTAGGTTTATCCTGAGTGAGTCAGTTGGGACTGCTTGGTAGCTGGACTCAAAAGCCTAATGCAGGCTGACTGAAGCAAAAAGGACTTTATTGCCACACCCAAGTGACCGGTGGTCCAGGGGCTGGTGACTTCAAGCACAGCTGGCTCTGGGATTTCTCAGGGCTCTGTCTCTCCTTCTCTCTGCTTGCCACTCTGTGGCTTCCTCTCCAGGCTTTTCCACCATGAGGCAGGACGGCCACCAGCAGCTGTAGGATGACCTCCTGCCACATTAGCGGCCTGCTGGAATTAACACACTCTGCTGATGGTTCCAGCCAAGGCCCTGAAGCCACCTCTCAGTGGCTGGATCACATGTTCACCTTGGGAGCCTGGGTCAAGTCATGGCACGGGGAGGGACTCCTCAGAGAAAGTTCATTGGATTCTGGGTGAAAAGAAACCAACAAAGTTTGGCTTCGCTGGGCCCGGTCCCCCTCCCTCCTCCCTACCCTGCATGGGCCAGAAGATCCTAACGCTGTGAAGGGAAGAGGCAGAAGCAGGTCCGCATTCCCATCTCTGTATATCCATAGATGTGTCTGGGCAGGGCAGACGACTAAGAGCAACTACCATGCTAGCCTCTGAACTTACCAGTGACTTCTGTGTGTGTGTGTGTGTGTGTGTGTGTGTGTGTGTGTGTGTGTGTGTGTGTGTTTATTTTTAAATTTTCTGATCATAAGTGTTTTACTCTAAAATAAACAATAATGCTATAAACCAAAGGAGAAAGAAAGCCCTTTGCCATGATACCCCAGATGGAGGGTGGCTCCCCCACACTGGTGCCCTCGACCCCCCGACCAGGGCTCCCTGATTTCAAGCCTTTCCCCCTCTCAGATTCTCTCACTCCTTCTCTCCCAGGCAACTTCGAAGCCATCTCAGCCTCGTGGTCATTGCCCGAATGCTGGGCCAGCAAGAGACGCTGCCTCTCTGGCAAGAGAAGACCCAGGTGAGCTTGTGCCTCAGCGGGGCAGGAGGGCCTGTGGGCAGGCGAATGGTGTTCCCTACATCCTGCCTGCTTCTGAGGCTTCTCCCAAAGGTTAGAATCTGCCTCCGGCCTGGAGACCTAAGCTGGGTTTGAATCTTTTCCTCACGCGCTTTCATAGCAACAGCTGCGCGTCTTCTGCGTGCCAGGCACCAGGATAGAACGTGAGCTGGGGGCCTGTAGTACTTTTATTTTTAATTGTGGTAAAATACACATGAAGTTTACCATTTCAACTTTTTTTTTTAAACCCTCTTAACTATTTTTTTTTTTTTTTTTTTTTAAAAATGACCAGTAAGGGGATCTCAACCCTTGACTTGGTGTTGTCAGCACCACGCTCAGCCAGTGAGCGAACCGGCCATCCCTATATGGGATCCGAACCCGGGGCCTTGGTGTTATCAGCACCGCACTCTACCGAGTGAGCCACGGGCCGGCCCCCAAAACCCTCTTAACTATTTTTAAGTGTAGAGTTCTAAACTTTTTTTTTTTTTTTTTAAAAATGACCAGTAAGGGGATCTCAACCCTTGACTTGGTGTTGTCAGCACCACGCTCAGCCAGTGAGCGAACCGGCCATCCCTATATGGGATCCGAACCCGGGGCCTTGGTGTTATCAGCACCGCACTCTACCGAGTGAGCCACGGGCCGGCCCCCAAAACCCTCTTAACTATTTTTAAGTGTAGAGTTCTAAACTTTTTTTTTTTTTCTTCTTTTGTGGCTGGCTAGTACGGGTATGAGTTCTAAGCATTTTAAGTGTGCAGTTGAGTGCCAGTAAGTACATTCACATCATTGTGCACTGTCACCACCGTCCAGCTCCAGAACTTTCTCATCTTCCCAAGTGGATACTCCATATCCATTAAACACTAACTCCCCATTGTCCCTTCCCCCTAGACCCTGGTTTTATTACATTTTATAGGTGGAAAACCAATAAAGAGGAAAACAAATACAGTACAATTAAAGCGACTCCCTCCAGTGTCCCTTGGGTCCCAATGTTAGGCATACTTGGGGCAGCAAGGGTGTTAGGTTGTGTGTTTCTTCCACATTCCTCTTCCCTCCAAAAAGCTCTGATTGCAGCCTCCTTGCAGCCCAGAAGACAGCACTTCAGGGGCCTGGGGGCAGCCCAAGGATGGACGGCAGTGGGGTCGAGAGCACTCTCACCTCCCCGGAATCCCAGAAGAGCTGTGGGCACAACCGAACCCTCCAGCTCAGCAACTCTAGAGGGGCAAGGCGCCCCAGGCCTCCAGTCACAGAGGTATCAAGGCTAGCGTGCGTAACCCCTTGTCCAGAGCACTGGGAGGGTGTTCCAGCACATCCCAGAGCAAGGTGGACCATGTGGCTGAGTCCAAGATGCCGTGACTGCAGGGAAGGAGCTCAGAGAGGTGACTGGTTGGAGTGGGTTGTCAGAGTGGCCTTGGCCTGGCTTTTGTCCCGGCTATCCCTTTTGCTTTGAATGTTCACTCTCTAGGATGTAGCATGGCTGGAGCTTCTTGTCATTCTGACTCTGGCTGAAGTGTCACCTCCTCAAGGAGGCCTTCCTGACTGCCCAACTCAAAGTGCTGCTGGCACTGTGCAGCACCATGTTAAATTTCTCATGGCGTACACCTCCTGATACTTTCCTGTTTATTCGTTCAGCGTCTGTGTTCCCCACCCACCCCACCCCACCCCTGCAGAACACAAGCTCCCTGAGAGCAGGGAGCAAATAGTTTCTGCTCCCTGCTGCCCCTCGGTGCCCAGCAGGCCAGGCACACACCAGGAAGGCAGCACATGCTTGTGGGATGACAGACAGCAAGGTGGATTGTGGGGTGGATGGAGGAGGATGAGGTGACCTGCACCAGGGTCACTTCACAGGTGGTCTCTGTGAAGAAGGGAGAACAGAAGAAGCAAATGGCATTGTGAGGGGCACCCAGCAGTTGGGGGCAGCGGCAGCAGAGATGTGGCCAGAGGGCACAAGAAGGAGGGGTCCCCGAGGGCTCAGGAAGGCAGCCTGATGGCAAGGTATTGGCGTTGGCCAGAGGGGGTCACTGAACCCTGCAGAGAGCACAGCACAGTGTCAGCAGAGTGGAGGCAAGAGGGAGGGCGAGAAGCAGGGTGGGGGTGGGGGTGGGGACAGCTCGCCCAGGAACAGCCTTAGCAGTAATCGGGAAAGACAGGGTCACTAAGTGTCGGGGCCAATTCAAAACTTGGGGTTTTGCTTTGATTTTTATTGGTCAGAGCCTGTGCAGGAAGAGTAGGGGGAGCGTGTGGGGCTGCGCTGCAGGCGGAGGCCAGAGCCTGACCAAGGGGCAGTGTCATGGAGGAAGAGCTGGACTGCATGGGCCTTGGGGGCAGCTGTAGGGGAGGCCAGCAACAAGGGCACGTCGGCTGGTGCTGCCTCCCCAGAGAGAGCTGGCCCGGGGGTCTCAGCAGTTCCCAAATGTACAGGATCCCATGGCCTGTGAGGGCCGAGCTGGGTTGAGCCCAGCTTTTGTGGTTTCCAGCTGAGGGCCTTCTCTACCACACCTGTGGGTCCACCCAGCCCGTGCCCACCTGCGCCCATCTGTTTGTTAGACAAGACACTAGCTGAGCAGCCCTGGCTGCCAGGCTCAGCACCAGGTGCCAGGTGCGATGGGCAGTAGGAGACAGCACCCAGACAACCTCAGGAGAAAGGGGTGAGCAAGCCGGCTGCGGCTGCCATGACTCACTCAGCCTGAGGACTTGAAGTGGCTTCTGGAGAAGGTGCCCTGACCCAGGTCTTGGAGGATGAGTCAGTGCTTGTACTGCAGAAAGGAGAGAGGGAGCATAGGAAGGACTGGCAGGGGCCTGCCTGTGGCCTTCCTGGTGCACTTCCCCCATCTCCACTGCAGGCCCGGGGCTGCTCCACAGTCTTCTCTCATGTCCCCGGGCTGCCAGGCACTTCCCTTTCCAGTCTGGCCTGACAGACGGATCTTCCTGAAACACACTTTCTTTTTTTTTTTTTCTTTTTGTCTTTTTTCGTGTCCGGCAACGGACCGCAACCCTCAGTGTCGCGCCCGTACCGGACCGGGACTGGCAACGGGATCGCAACCCTCGGTGCTTCGCCCGTACCGGACCGGGACTGGCAACGGGATCGCAACCCTCGGTGCTT